TGTTCTTTTTGTATTGTGTTTGTGCATAGTTTTATTGTTTGTTTAATATTATTTTGGTATTGTTGTGTTGGGTCTTTGTTGATCAATGTAAAATTATTTTCATGTATAAATTTCATTATTTTTTGTTGATACTCTTCTTTTGTTATTAGTACCAATGTCTTTCCTTTGTCTGCTTTTGTTGCTATTAATTTGTTATCTAGCATTTTTCTTTTTATATTCATAGCTAATTTCCATTCTCTCTTACTTTTATAGTTATTATGGATATCTTTGTTTTTGCTAATTTCTTTGATTTGTTTCGCAACTATGTGTCTATAGTAGTTGTGTTCTGTTATATCTAGTTTTGTTATTGCTGTTTCTGCTTCTAGAGCTAGTGTTTCAATCCATTTTTTGTTTTTATAGTGTAGATTGTATTTTAGCCCTTTGCTTAAGAGCTGAATTTCGTCATGTGTGAAGTGAGTATTCGTACAATTTTTTACGCGTGTATAATTTGTGTTGTTATGTTTGTTTGTTGTTGTCTGGGTTTCTTCCATGCTTTTCAGTTTTTGTTGTTGCTTTAAATATATAGTTTTCATTTCGTGTTGTAGTTTTTGGTTTATTTCATCTTCTAGAATATTCCACATTTTTTGCCATGTATTAGCGTTGTGTATGTGTTTGTAGTAAAGTTGCTTGTTTAATTGTTCCTTCTTTTTGTATAAGAATTTTATTTCGTTTTTTATACACGATATTTGAGCTTGTGTTTTAGTTTTTCTTGCTGCTTCATTATATTCCGGTATCTTAATTTGGGCGTATTTCGGTATTAATCTATTCTTCAAACATGACTTATTAAAATTTATATTGGCATTGCAATCGACGTAGCGATGTGGTATCCTGAACAATTTTAATATTTTTAACGTTTGACAATGTATATGATACATACATATTTTAGTTATTTTAATGTGTGAACATGGCATGCAATGAACTGGTTTGACGTGGACAAGTAAGCACCTGAAGATGGCATTATTATGCCGAAACATGTAGTGCGAGGGAGATAAGGAGATAAATGAATGTATGCACTGCAAGAGGGATTAAATAAATCATGGACATATACCATTGAACTGCAGTACATTAGATTGGATACAATGTTAATCATTTAAAATACTTTTCTTAAAAATACAATAAGTCAGATTATATAAAAACTAAAAGTTATTGTATAAAACAAGAACATGAACATTATAGGTACATTACTTGTTGAGTCATCCATCACGGCCATTTGGTTATGTGATTTCCCTAAGATGCTGCAGTAGTTACTTACTCATGGAAACACCGTTGCTCTGATTCAGTTTCTCAACTACATATATACGCAATATACGTAACACATAAAAATACGCAAATTTTAAAAATATGTGTATGCATAACTTCGACACCAGGTTACGGACAGAACCTAGCGCATTCTCGGTCATGCACAATTTTCTGAAACAATGGTGAGAGCTAGTAAACTAACACGAAGTTCGAATACTGCTCGATCATCATTAGCCCTGCTGACACTGCCTTTTATATTCCCTGCCAGTTCAATGAAGTGAAATGGAGAAGGCCAGAAAGGCAGCTAAAAAAGCCCGATATGTAATTTGGTTAGGTTACATACTTCCAAACAACTGAATCGCTGAAAGGAAGCAGCAGAACTAACGCTTTGAAATTTGACCGGAAACCCGGCAACAACCACACCGCACCGGTTTGAGAAAACAGTTTTTCTATTGGTTGAATTCAACTTACTAGAAAGGGTCGGAAACTGTAGCTAACATAAAGCACCAAGATCGTCTGTTAATGAGGAAATACAATGCAAGTTCTGTTATTATTTAATTTTTAAACACCTTAAATGTTCATACTTACTGAATAATATTTTACGGCATTATATGAGCCTATTAATTCTAAGCCGCAGTAAACAGCATGACTGGAGATTCTCGCATCGTCGGTGTAGGAGTACATGGTAGCGGTTATGTTTCGTAGGTAATTCTCCATTGCATGCAGTGGTTTGAATCATTAAAGTGAATTTGCTGAGTCGTGCGGTGCTGAACAGTAGGTAGCTACAACTAGAAAGCGATGAACGGCGATGAACTGCACGGGATCGTATACATAATCATAATCACTGGTGTTTGACCCATACATCTATCATAGAAGAGACCCAATACAGAAACAAAGTCTCATATATTATTTACGCTAAATAAATATATTTGCCAAAAGATCAGTTTTTATGCGACATAAGAATATGTATACATGATTTGATATGATTATTTACGTTCTGAACTCCTTAAAGGTTAGTTTAACAAACCTGAACCAGTAGATTCTACAGGGATCTGGCGATGGTGGATGACACAGAATTACTGGCTTTTTGGACTTTTTTTTTTTTTTTATCGTTCGGAATTCTAGGTAATAGAGGACACGACATGGAGGAAACTGGATCTCTTCAGGTGAGAAAGGAAGACACCTACACGGTTAACCCCCATATTAAGAGTTAATCTCAAACACTGGACAACTCCTGGCAGATTCACCCTGCTATTTCAATATATAAAACTAGGCCAGTTTAGTGGGAGATAACAAGAAACCATAAAATAAAAATTGTGAGAGCATGCACATGCGTGGAACTAGAATCGAAAAGGAGATAAGACATTTGTGTTAGAAACCTAGCTGACAAAAACCAAGTGCATGAGCACCNCCATCGTCCGGAATTCTAGGTAATAGAGGACACGACATTTAGGAAACTGGATCTCTTCAGGTGAGAAAGGAAGACACCTACACGGTTAACCCCCATATTAAGAGTTAATCTCAAACACTGGACAACTCCTGGCAGATTCACCCTGCTATTTCAATATATAAAACTAGGCCAGTTTAGTGGGAGATAACAAGAAACCATAAAATAAAAATTGTGAGAGCATGCACATGCGTGGAACTAGAATCGAAAAGGAGATAAGACATTTGTGTTAGAAACCTAGCTGACAAAAACCAAGTGCATGAGCACCAATATGAAGAAATGGGGAAAAACTGTGAAGACATGTAATATCTACCACTAGTGCCAGTCTATGAAAATACTATGTTCATTCGCTGTCAACAAAGCAATGAGACTGATCTTAAAAGATATTGATATAAGTGTGGTTGCCTTCAGTGCACCCTCCTGGCTTATATATATACACACACGCACGCACGCACACGTGCACAAACTTCATCGTCTCTGACATGGCCAAGAAACTTTCTGATATTTTTCATTTCACAATATTATATGCTAGTTCTTAATATGATATACAATACCTTCTGTAATTTTATTTTCATAAAGTAACCAGACTAATGCTACAAGGCTCAGTTTTCAATTAAATAATTTTCCTAGGGAGTAAAGCGTGGCCGGTGCGTAGGGCTGACAACCTTACCGCAATCTTTGAGCTGATTTAGATAATGTGGGACCCTCAACGTCTCACAACCCTATGGGCCTTCACAGCCTGGTACAGGGTTAGCTTTACTTTTTATAGGCATCTTTGATTAATTTGGAAAATAACTGTGACTACAGTTCCTCTAACCCCCAATTTCCTATAAGGTCTTGGAATTGCCAAAGAACATTTTTCAGAAACAACCCCTAAATCTTTTGGGACATACCACCACGTAGTCTGTTGAAAGTAAACTGGGGTTTTGGAGGGACCTGTTGACCCCACTACACAGCATTACATCCCAGAAGATAGAATTCTTCATAACCACCACTGTGAGAACTAAAAATCCTAAATAATTTCCAGTTACTGGGTCTTTTGGGTTATGATACCTTCTAGTCTGATGTGTACTAACATTTTGGAGGAACATACTGGCACAACCTTCAGGGCAGATAGTGGAGGCTGTATGTTATGTCTTCATCTTGGTACCCTCCTACCACATCACACAGTCACAATCCACAGGGTCCAGCCAAGGTCTATGGCCCATCCAGCTTCCTATCCAACTTGTACTGAGCGCAAATTCCCTGGGAGTAAAGGGACTGGAGAGTGAAGCTGACCACTCACCTCAGTGTCTTCATGGTATAGTGCTTAATTAATTAAGCAGAGGACTTTACCTTTTAATTTACCACAATGCAGACCGCAGAGTTCATTCCAACATTTGAAGTAATATACTGCTTCTAACTTCTGACACTGCACACTACAATCCCCAAGAATATGTCATGAATCATCTTGTAAACCTTAAATCTTTTAATTGAAATTAAGTAAGTAGGTAACTAACTTCATGGTGTTGAGCCCTTCTTGATAAACCACCAACTGTTTAGCTATTCAAGAACTTCCCAGCATTTTATGGAACCAAAAGGTTCATTATCGTGTTCACAAGATCCCTCCACCAGATCAGTCCAGTCCATATTACTCCATCCCATCTCTCTGAAATCCATTTTAATATCCACTCACCTACGTCTTTGTCTTCGTAGTAGCTTCTTTCCTTCTCGCTTTCCCACAAATAACCTATATGCATTCCTCTTCTCCTCCATTTGTGCTGCATGCCCTAGCCATCACATCCTCATTGACTTTATCATTCTAATTATACTTGGCGAAGAGTACAAATTATGAAGCTCCTCATTATGCAGTTTTCTCCAAACACCCTCTGTCTATGTTCCTCCTTTAATGTCAGAGACCAAGTTTCACACCCATACACAATCATAGGCAAAATTAGCTTTGTATACAATGAGTAGATATGGAGATGAAATATGTGGACAGACAAGATTTTATCCAGTAGGTTGTCAAAAGAAGCTTGGAAGCAGATAACACTGCATGTTTTTGCCACAATTGTGAAGTACACAGTGAATGAAAATGTTTCAAGGCTCATCACACTAAATTAAACACTACAGGTATAAATGCAATTCTTCATAATTTAGATAACGTAAACTTTTGAACAAAAATTAATTTAGTTCTGATGTACAGTCAGTTACACAAACTGTTGTACACCATGACTCTAAAATGTAATTGTACTTTGGAGTAGCACCAGGAATCAATTTAAATGTCCTTGAACAAACGACTGAAGAACTTGGTATTCCAAATTGCTGGGTTTAATCAACAAAATTCAAATTCAGAAATCTGTAAGGCTCTACTGTCCACTGTAAGGCTACTGAAACAACAGAAATACATGTTTTATTTACGGTACAATAGAGAGAGAGAGAGAGAGATATATATTTTTATAACATTTCTGTCATTAAATTTTAAGGCAGTGGGCACAAAGAATATAATGTATTTTAATGGTTATGAAAACATGTATTTTGCATGTATATCTCAACGTTACATTAGTACAGTGTTAATTTTTAACTTACATAATGCTTCATTATAAAACAAGTATTACAAAGTAGGTACAAGAATAGGCCTGCTACAGGCATATGGGGTATACAAAAAGACACTGTAAATACTAAAAACAAGGGATTATTATATATGACTACAAGAGCCAGAATACAGCATCTTTCCAAAAGATGTTTTAATTGTATTTACTTACTAAAATATAAGACAAGAATCACTGTATGTGCCGTCACTGATCACACCAGGCACAGCAGAGTATGTTGTCCCCTAGTGTCAACTCTTAACAGCACTGCACAAAATGGTGTACACAACAGACCAGCATATGTTTTCAGTGAAGTTATTTCACAAGATTGCTAGGACATGAATTCTGGGTAAAATTTGGAGCAAGAAAGCTTGAAGCAGGTCTGCAATAAACAGATTAGTTAGCATGTATAAAACAACTGGGACCATGGATGATGGTAAAAAGGATACTGTTAGCAGAAACAAATTAAATTACCAGAAAAACAATACATGTATTCAACAGTGCCACATAACATTGGAACATTTGTATGTCCTTCTCAACAACATGGCTTTGCAGGATCATGAATGCGCATAATTGCTCAAAAACATGTGCAACTGTTTCCATATAAAAATTGTATAAAGGCAGCAATCTCTTGGTGACAGTGATAAAAGACAAGAGAATTGGCTTATGGTCTATTTTTGCAGTTTTCTGAGGAAGTTCCTCAAAGTGGTTTGCAGAGAAGGTCCACACATTTACATCATCCAAACTGTAAAGTGAACTGGGCTTTTTGCCAATGATACTGTTGGACCAATCTTTCTCAAAGATATTGTGACTGAAGAATGTTATCTGCATGTCATCAGAGGGCATTTACTCCCATCCTTCATGGTTTGGGCATTAATTTCAAGAAACCAGGTTTTCAGAAGGATATGGTGCAACTGTATTGCAACACATATAGTGGCGGATGTTCTCAATAAGCAATATCAGTTGGTTTTGTCTAGTTGATTTCTTGCATATTTTGAATATGGTCTGCCCTCTATGCATCTCAACCAATGTGAGTTCTTCTTGTGGGACTTTCTTAACTATACTGTTTATGGTAATAATTCACCATAATTCAAGAACTGAGTAAGAAGTTTTAGCAGCTGTCACAGCATCAGTGAACACATCATGGCTTGAGTATTGCAGAAATTTCAAAGAGTACTACAGATGATTCTTGATGTAGATTTTGCACATACTGAAAATGTTTTCACTTAATTCTCACTTCAAGAATTTCATGTTCAATGGAAGCAAGTACAATAATGTTATTAATGTATATTTTGTAAACATATATATACAATAAAAATTAGATTGTGTTTTTGGTATGACCTAGTATGCTGTATAACAAGTGAATATCCA